CGGGGCGGGGCCGGGGCGGGGCCTGGAGGGCGGGAGCCAGCTCTCTGCGGCACCTGCCCCTCCTGGAGCACGTTGCATCACATATGTTAATAGCATGTCATTTATACATGAACATTTACAAACGATAGTAGGAAGTGTGTTCGTCAGTGTCCCGGGGTCATATTTGTGTGTATAGAAGAAGCTACTAAGAGGTTTACTTTGGCTTTTATTTGATTTTGTTTATGAGTCAGGGGTCTCACTGTGTCGCCCAGGCTGGAGTGCAGGGGTACGCTCGTGGCCTCCGCAGCCTCGACCCGCTGGGCTCTGGCGATCCTTCCGCCTCAGCCTTCCAAGTAGCCGGAACTACAGGTGCGCGCCACCACGCCCGGCTAGTTTTATTTATTTATTGTAGAAGCGAAGTTTTGCCATGGTACCCAGGCTGGTCTCGAACCTCGCCTCGGCCTTCCAAAGTGCTGGGATGACTGGCCAAGATTTTCTCTTATTTTGTGAGCTGCCATTTTACTCTGCTGATGGTCTCCTGTGATGCACAAAAATGCTTACTCTTTTTTTTTTTTTTTTTGAGTTGGAGTCTCACTCTGTCACCCAGACTAGAGTGCAGTGGCATGCTTCCGGCGACCGCAGCCTCGACCTGCTGGCTCAGGTGATCCCTCCGCCTCAGCCTTCCAAGTAACCGGAACTACAGGCTCGTGCTACCACACCTGGCTAGTTGTTTTTTTTTTTTAATTTGTTGTAGAGACTAAGTCTCACCAAGTTGCCCGGGTGGGTCTCGAACCCGCAGGCTCAGGCAGTCCACTCGCCTCAGCCCCCAAAGTGCTGGGATGACAGGCTGAGCCACCGAGCCCGGCCAGAAATGCTTACTTTTGAAGTCCCGTTTATGCCTTTTTAAGTTTGTGTCTTAGAAACAGAAAGAAAGAAAACCATCGTGTGCTGCTTTCATGGAAGCAAATTCATCTCTTCTGTGTAAGGATGCGGATCAGAATTCCTGTGTTCATTCCTCCCCCCATTGCCTCTGCATCTCCCGTGTTTTCCTCTTTTTTTGGTTTGCTTTGATCTGTCTCATTCACACTGAAGGAATTCCTCAAGTCTGTGGGAATCCATGACTCCTTGGGGGTGGTTATTTTTTTCCCAAAGAGTGATTTCATCGTGAGGGGAGAGGTATGTGGTAGACAGAGTAACCCCATTAAGATGTTGGCTGTGCTTGATGGCTCAGCCTGTCATCCCAGCACTTTGGGAGGCCGAGGTGAGTGGATTGCCTGAGCCCACAGGTTCGAGATCAGCCCGGGCAATTTGGTGAGACCTTGTTTCTACAATAAATCAAAAATTAGCCGGGTGTGGTAGCACACGCCTGTAGTTCCTGCTACTTGGAAGACTGAGGGAAAAGGATCGCCGGAGCCCAGCAGGTCAAGGCTATGGTGGCCGTGAGTGTGCCACTGCGCTCCAGCCTGAGTGAGGGAGTGAGACTCCAACTCAAAAACAAAAAGCAAAATAACCCAGATGTCCACATCCAGCCGAACTTGGTGGCTCAAGTCTGTCATCCCAGCACCTTGGGAGGCCGAGGTGAGGGGATTGCCTGAGCCCACGGGTTTGAGAACAGCCTGGGCAACTTGGCGAGACCTCGTCTCTACAATTAAAAAAAAAAAATTAGCCGAGTGTGGTAGCGCATGCCTGTAGTTCTGGCTACTTGGAAGGCTGAACCGAAAGGATCACCTGAGCCCATCAGGTCAAAGCTTCGGTGGCTGTGAGCAGGCTGCTGCGCTCCAGCCTGGGCAATGGAGTGAGACTCCAACTCAGAAAGTAAAAATAAAAAACGACGTCCATCCTAATCCCCAGACCCACGACAATTCCCAGACCTGTCACTGTGTTCATTTACATGGCAAAAGACACTTTTACAGGCTGAGCTCATGCCTTTAATCACAGCACTTTGGAAGGCTGAGGCGGGAGGATTGCTTGAGCCCAGGAGTTGGAGACCAACCTGGATCACACAGCAAGACCTTGTTTCTACAAAAAATAAACCAATTAGCTGGGCATGGCAGTGTGTGCCTATACTCCCAGCCACTCAGGAGGCTGAGGCGGGAGGATCGCTTGAGTCCTGGAGTTCAAGAGTAGCCTGGGCAACATAGGAGACTTTGTTTCTACAAAAAATTAAAATAAAAAAAATATGAGCTGGGTGTGGTGGCGAAGGCCTGTCGTCCCAGCTGCTCAGGAGACTGAGGCAAAAAAGCCTCAGGAGATCAAGGCTGTGATGAGCCATGATCATGCCGCTGCGCTCCAGCCTGGACAACACAGTGAGACCCCAACTAAAACAACAACAAAAAACCACTATAGATGAGCGAACTCCCAAGCACCTTGAGGTGGGAGGTTGTCTTTGTCCATCCACTCTAACCAAGACCTCATCCAAGAAGAACAAAGGGCTGGCAAAGCAAAGGCCCTGCCCGCCCTGCCCCCTTGAAGACAGGACAGGGCCACATCCCAGGCGGGAGAGGCCTGGTGGACCCTCCCCTGGAGATTCCAGAGGGCACCAGCCCTGCCGACAAGCCGGTTTTAGCCCAGCGAGGCCCGTGTCAGACATCCGGCCGACGGTTTTGCAGGATAATGCGTCTGTGTTGTCTGAACCACTGAGCTTGTGGTCGTCTGCCGCTGTGGCCAGCAGACACCCAAGGCAGGTGCAGGCCAGCCAGGTGTCTGCCTTCCCCGATTGCAGCTTCCAAGGTGGCCAGCAGAGGGCAGCAGCCACCAGCCCCCAAACCAGGAGGAAGAATTCGGCCCCAGAAGTCATGGGGGGAGGGGGAGTCGGGGGTTGGGTTAGTGGCTGCAGTGGGTGAAGAGGACCCTCTGGAAGGGGGCGTGAGGGGACACCGCTGAGAAGCAGTGACATTCCGTGGCTGAGTCCTGGCTACAGGGGCGTGTGTTCCTGGTGGAAGTTGACGGCCTGTACCCTCGTGCTCTGTGCAGATTTCTGAATGTGGGGGGGGGGGAGGGGAGGGGAAGGAGAGATGCGGAGGTGCGGGGGGGTCGTCTGCAGGTTGCCAAGCCTTTTCCCGTGGCTGCGTCCAGGAAGGCTCCTGGTGTGAGCGGCAGATGCTGCCCCGTCGGAGGAAGCCCGGCCGGAATGCCTGTGCCAGCCCCATGCCAGTGTTTCCAGGTGGCAGCTGTCTTTGTGGCACGTGCTCTTGTGCCCAGGCTGTGGGAGGGAGCTGGGGGGGCGCTTGCTGTGGGTCGGTCTTTCAGCGGGAAGCCATTGAGCTGACCTTCCACCACCCATGACTTCCTCACAAACAGCCCTGATTGCTGGACCCTGAGGTCCACTCAGATCAGAGGTGGAAAGGCCCAGTTGTCGGTCGGCCATCCGTCCACCCCTCCGTCATCTGCTTATCCATGCGTCCATCCACTCATTCATCTGTCTATTCACTGATCTATCCGTCTCCATCTATCCACCCACCCACCTATTCATCCATCCACCCATCCCTCTCTCCATCCATCTATTCATCCACCCATCCACCTATCCATCTATCAATCTGTCATCCATCCATCCATCGTTCATCCGTCCATCCACCCATCCCTCTCTCCATCCATCCACCCATCCATCCACCCATCCACCCACCCATCCATCCCTCTCTCCATCCATCCATTCATCCACCCATCCACCCACCCATCCATCCCTCTCTCCATCCATCCATTCATCCACCCATCCACCTATCCATCTATCAATCTGTCATCCATCCATCCTTCATCCATCCCTCCACCCGTCCATCTATCCGTCTATCCATCCATCATCCGTCCATCCACCCATCCCTCTCTCCATCTATCCAACCATTCATCCACCCATCCATCTATCCACCTACCCATCCACCATCCATCCACCCATCCACCCATCCATCTATCCATCCATCATTCATCCATCAATTCACCCATCCATCATCCATCCAGCCACCCATCCACCTATCCATCTATCAATCTGTCATCCATCCATCCATCGTTCATCCATCCGTCCACCCATCCATCTATCCATCCATTCATCCATCCACCCATCCCTCTCTCCATCTATCCAACCATTCATCCACCCATCCATCCACCCATCTATCTATCCACCCACCCATCCACCCACCCATCCACCTATCCATCCATCTATCCATCCATCAACCATCCATCCACCCATCCACCCATCCATCTATCCATCCATCATTCATCCATCAATTCACCCATCCATCCATCCATCCATCCACCCATCAACCATCCATCCATCCATCCTCCCATCCATCTCTCCATCTGTCCATCCATCCATCATCCACCCATCCATCGTCCATCCATCCATTCACTGATCTATTCATCTCCATCTCTCCACCCGTCTGTCTAACGCATCCATCTATACACGTATCCATCTGTCCGTCATCCATTCATCCGTTCTTCCACACATCCGTCCACTCACCCACTCATCCATCCCCCATCCACTTATCCACCTATTCCTCACTGGCTTGCTCATTCATTCAGCACTCCCTGGTGCCTCTCCTGTGCCTGGCACTGTGCCCAGGGCCCCCTCCTCACCTGCCTCCTGGCAAGCGGCAGCACCTCCCTTCTTTGCTGTGGCTCTTCCAGGAAACGGACAGGCCAGCAGTGGTGCTTGCTGCTTGAGGACACGTCAGCTGTGACGGGGGTCATGTTAGGGGCCCACGAATGGCTCCTGGTGCCCCGAGATGAATGTGTGCATGTGGGAATTGGGGATGTGGGTGCCCTGAGTCCAGCCCTGGGGTGGGGGCGGCCCTGCTCCAGCCACCGACTGGGCCGAGCTCTGCCCCGGGGAATCCCACAGCTGGTTCTAGATCTGAGGACGGGGACCTTGACCGGAGACTTGTCCAGAAAGGTTGGCGAGTGCAGGAGACCCAGCCTCAGCGGCCGCATAGCCAGCAGGTAGGCACTTTGGGAGGGTGGGGAGTGGGGACCTGGAGTACACGGGCCATCTGCGGAGGAGCAGACCCTGAGCTACCACTGAGTGTGAGCATGTGACTGGTGAACATGGCATTGTGCATGACGGGTGACTTCTCAAAAGAACGTGCTGGGCTCGTTGGCTCAGCCTGCCATCCCAGCACTTTGGGAGGCCGAGGCGAGTGGATGGCCTGAGCCCA